ATGAATTTTTAAAGATTCTCCAGTGCATGATTTTGTTCTGTAACTCTGTACAAACGTTTTGTAAATTCATGATTATTAGAGTTTTTAAATAAATCTATGGATATGAATATCAGGTACATTCATACAGGACGTTAATATGAATTTTTAAAGATTCTCCAGTGCATGATTTTGTTCTGTAACTGTACAAACGTTTTGTAAATTCATGATTATTTGAGTTTTTAAATAAATCTATGGATATGAATATCAGGTACATTCATACAGGACAATATATTTGAAATATATACATGCATGTGTGTGTATTTATATATACACATAATACATATACACAGCACACACACATATAACAAAACCTTTTATTCTGGATGTGATTAATGGTTTGACAGCACTAATTATAATTGTTTTGTAAAACAAACACATGATATTTTTCACTACGAGTTCACTTTCAAGCAACTAAATCTTCAAGCTTCATTTTGGTGGAATGTGGACTATTTTAGAGAAATGCTGTAAACTAAACTCGTCTCACCCCGAAACATCCAGCCGGACATACAATAACTCAAACTTAATCAAACTTTGATTGTGATTTCAAAAGACTATTCCAGTTTTATTTGATTGACAGTGCAAACCCATAGTTTATTTTAAGGAGTGTGATTGTTTGCGTGTAAAGCCTGCTGTGATTGGCTGACACTCACTGATCTGGTTGAGTGTCTCCTGTGGGATCCAGCTCATGTCCACGTCATTGTGATTGGAGGTTCCCATCTCCACTTTAGCTGCTGGCCGTCTCCTCTGTAACACACACACACACATCAGAGGCACTGAAGCACAGATTCTGACAGCAGAGTAACGATGAAGAGCAGCTGATGATGATGAGCGTCTCACCTTGCGTGACTCGAGCAGCTGATGAAGGCCGACCACCAGCAGCAGGCCGAGCCCCGACAGAAACACGTACAAGAAGATCCTGCACACACACACACACACACACACACAGTCAGTCACGTGATCAGAGCGCCACCTGCTGCTCAAAGCCTGAACTCCTGGACCACTGCAGCAGCCTTACGTCTCTCCATCCAGACCGTCTTCTCTCTCGGTGATGGTGACGGTTTGGTTGAAGACGGCGTCCTGGAACACGTTCCCCTGAAACAGCAGAGAGGAAGGACACGAGTGAGTGAGAGACACACACACACAGACTCACACACACACAGACTCACACACACACAGACACAGACTCACACACACGCAGACTCACACACACGCAGACTCACACACACGCAGACTCACACTGCTGTCCCTGTAGTTGAGGTTGATGACGAGGCCGAAGGGCCGGCCTCCCATGGGCTCCGCGGGGATGAAGGAGTACTCGAAGGTGGCCTGACGCTGAGGAGGAACCTCGGTCCCCAGCTGCAGCGCTGTGAAGTTCTGGATGTAGAACTGGAAGTCCTGCGGGTACCGGAACGAGGCGTCCAGAGACTCCACCACGAAGTTCTCCGAGCCTTTATTGGTGAATCCCAGCAGGAACTTCACGATGTCGTTGGCGGGAAAATCTGTCATTCAGGAAGAGAACGAATGAATGAGCCGACAGAAGAGAAACACCCATCAGTCTGTGAATCAGAGTTCAGAAACTAAACACCGTGAGTGACTGACTCTGTAAACCTGACATATGAAATAATTATTATAATGTATTTTAGTAATGCAATCTAGAGAATACTGAACAGAATGTGTCAACTCATTGTGCACTAAATCAGCCATGTCTCCTGGTGAATGTGAGATCGACTCGTTCACCTTCTCCTTTGACGAAGAGGATGGTGGTGTCAGCGTTGGGTGAAGCCTTCATCTCCCCCACCAGAGCTTCTTCCTCCTCTTCCTCCTTTTCTTCCGTCTGACAGAAGAAACGACAACATGAGCGTCTCCACTAACCGCTCAGATGACGAGAGGTTAATGATAGTTAGTTAGTTCTCTTACTAGTTCAGTGTTCTCATCGTCCTCCACCTCAGCTTCATCATCCTCATCCTCAGCCATCACATCATCAGCGGCATCTTCATCCACACCCTCCTCTTCCTCTGTAGCGTCCTGTGCAGAAACGACCGGCCCTGGAGACACACACACACAGAGAGAGAGAGAGAGACACACACACACACACCTGGAGTTCATTACGAGGTCTGACACACATCTGATGATGTTGGAGTGTCACTGATGTGCAGAACTCCACACATCACACATGTTCATGTGATTACAGGCACATACAGAGAGTTTAGCTGATATGTGAAGACATGCGTCAAATACTCTAACACACACACACACACACAGAGAGAGAGAGAGAGAGAGAGAGAGAGAGAGACACACACACACACACCTGGAGTTCATTACGAGGTCTGACACACATCTGATGATGTTGGAGTGTCACTGATGTGCAGAACTCCACACATCACACATGTTCATGTGATTACAGGCACATACAGAGAGTTTAGCTGATATGTGAAGACATGCGTCAAATACTCTAACAGTAAAAATCTACTTATTATACACTACCAGTCAAACGTTTTTGAATCACAGAGACATACACACACACACACACACACACACACACACACACATACACACACAGAGACATACACACACACACACACACACACACACACATACACACACAGAGA